ACCAGGCCACCTTACCTGTCTCCTGTAAAACCTGTACACAGGTCAAGAAGCAACAGTTAGAACCAGACATGAACAACAGACTGGTTCAAAACTGGGAAAGGAGTACATCAAGGATATATATTGTCACCCTGCTTATTTAACTTATAAGTAGAGTACATCATGAGAAACTCTGGGCTGGATGAATTACAAGCCAGAATCAAGACTGCTGGGAGAAATATCAACAACCTCATATATGCAGATGATACCACCTTAATAACAGAAAGTGAAGAGGAACTAAGAGCCCCTTGATGAAGGTAAAAGAGGAGAGTGAAAAAGCTGGCTTAAAACTCAACATTCAAAAAATTAAGGTCATGGCATCCAGTCCCATCACTTCATGGCAAACAGATGGGGCAAAAGTGGAAATCGTGATAGATTTTATTTTCTTGGGCTCCAAAATCACTACAGATGATGACTGCAGCCATGAAAATTTTTTTTGAACATTTTTTAATGTGTTTATTTTCTTTTTTATATTATTTTTTATTTATTTGTATTAGTTGGAGGCTAATTACTTTACAATATTGTAGTGGTTTTTGCCATACATTGACATGAATCAACCATGGATTTACATGTGTTCCCCATCCCGATCCCCCCTCCCACCTCCCTCTCCACCCGATCCCTCTGGGTCTTCCCAGTGCACCAGGCCCGAGCACTTGTCTCATGCATCCAACCTGGGCTGGTGATCTGTTTCACCCTAGATAATATACATGTTTCGATGCTGTTCTCTTGAAACATCCCACCCTCGCCTTCTCCCACAGAGTCCAAAAGTCTGTTCTATACATCTGTGTCTCTTTTTCTGTTTTGCATATAGGGTTATCGTTACCATCTTTCTAAATTCCATATATATGTGTTAGTATACTGTAATGGTCTTTATCTTTCTGGCTTACTTCACTCTGTATAATGGGCTCCAGTTTCATCCATCTCATTAGAACTGATTCAAATGAATTATTTTTAATGTGCAGCCATGAAATTAAAAGGAGCTTGCTCCTTGGAAGAAAAGCTATGACAAACTGAGACAGCATAGTAAAAAGCTGACACATCACTTTGCTGACAAGGGTCTGTATAGTCAAAGTGAAAGTGGAAGCTGCTCAGTCGTGTCCAACACTTTGTAACCCCATATACAATATAGTTCATCGAATTCTCCAGGCCAGAATACTGGAGTGGGTAGCCTTTTCCTTCTCCAGGGGATCTTTCCAACCCAGGGATCGAACCCCAGTCTCTCACATTGCAGGCAGATTCTTTACCAGATAAGCCACAAGCGAAGCCCAACAGTACTAGAATGGGTAGCCTATCCCTTCTCCAGCAGATCTTCCCAATACAGGAAGAGAACTGGGGTTTCCTGCACTGCAGGCGAATTCTTCACCAACTGAGCTATCAGGGTTTTTCCAGCAGTCATGTGTGGATGTGAGAGTTGGACCATAAAGAAGGCTGAGCACTGAAGCTTTCAAATTGTGGTGCTGGAGAAGACTTTTGAGAGTCCCTTGGATGGCAAGGAGATCAAACCACTCAATCCTAAAGGAAATCAACCCTGAATATTCATTGGAAGGATTGATGCTGAAGCTGAAGTACCAATACTTTGGCCTCCTGATATGGAAAGCAGACTCATTGGAAAAGACCTAATGCTGGGAAAGATTGAGTGCAGGAGAAGGAAGGGGTGACAGAAGATGAGATGGCTGGATGGCATCACCAACTCAAAGGACATGAGTTTAAGCAAACTCTGGGAGATAGTGAAGGACAGGGAAGCCAAGGGTGCTGCAATCCATGAGGTTGCAAAGAGTTGGACACAACTTAGCGACTGAACAACAACAACTCTCAAAAGAAAAATAATTCTTATAAAATGACCCACTTATCTGGGACTTTTATGAGCTAGAATACAGTTTTGTCTAAGAAAAAGAATCTATCTAGTTCTTTGCACCGAAGCAGCATTTATTTAACTAGCAGAAATCTAACAAGAACCAACTATATAGCACTACTGCTGCTGGTATGTTGCTCAGTCATGTCCAACTCTTTGCAACTCCACGGACTGTAGCCTGCCAGGTTCCTCTGTCCATGGGGTTTCCCAGGCACAAATACTAGAATGGGTTGACATTTCCTTCTCCAGAGGATCTTCCTGACCCAGGGATGAAACCCGCATCTCCTGCTTGTCAGACATCTCCTGTTGGGCAGGCAGATTCTTTACCACTGAGCGACCTGGGAAGCACACTGCATAGCATAAGGAACTGTATTTAATATCTTGTGATAACATGCAATGGAAAAGAATTTGCGTAATGGAATCACTTTGCCATACACCTGAAACACTGTAAATCAACTATACTTCAATTTAAAAAAAAACAGTAGAAATCTTCTCAAGTAATTTATTTCTACTTTAGGCCTTATTACCATCCAATAATAAAGGCTTTCTTTTTTTTTTCCATTTCATAACATGTATTCCCTCCAAACTTATCAGAGTGAATTATAGTTTTTTTTCTGGTTTCAAACACAGATGTACTCATGCCTAATTCTCACTCACTTTAATAATAACAATAAAAAAAATTACTTAGATTTACCATTAAAAGACTGGTAGCCTAAATAAAGTAACTTTATCACAGAATATAAATAATATTAGAAATATTCTATCTACAAAACAATATTTTAAAGGTGAGCACTCTTTTATTATTCATAAATAAAGGCAAGATTATTTAAAGGCTTCCCATTTTAAAATATATAAAAATAAATTCAAAATATATAATTTCCTAAATTAATCATGCTTCCTATTTGTACAGTTTCTGAAATCTGCTCTTTAATTGTTGGCTTCATGAATCTTCCTAACAGAGTCATGGAACAAGAGATTGGAATTGCAAGTCATCAGTTGGAGAATTTGTCTATCAATTACCAGCTATATGTGAATGCTCTTTGTGAATTTAAAGGCAATGTATATATCTTAATTATTATTTTCACTACTGTAAAAATATTGTACACTGGATGTTGTGAAAAGTTTAGGCTTCTAAAATAATTTTACAACATGCCTAAAGATTGAGAAGTAGATGGCAATAATCTCAAAGTTCCAATCAACAAAAATAATTCAGATAAAAAATTATCTTGGCATTTCAAGGAAATTAATGTCCTTCAGAAAGTCATATTTTAGCCTTTGTTATCTAAAATGGCTATCCACATATTTTTTCCTTTCTATCACACAAGATCTGTCCTAAATTGTACATAATTCTTCTGCTTCCTACTAACATTCAAGCAATGTACTTAAAAGCTACTGGTCCAAAACATAAGTCTGCATATCTTACTAAGAGGGATGCTACTGAATAACTTCATATTCAGTATAATTGAGCCAGTACTTGGTAATTAATGGAAAACATCAGTTAAAGCAGAGACCCAAAAAAGGTTTAAATATAAATTAAATCAACATTTTTAAAAACATGTAGTTTTAAGGGCTTTTCTGCTGATTAGAATTTCACATAATAGTCCCTTGGACAGCAAGGAGATCAAAACAGTCAAATCCTAAAGGAAATCAATCCTGAATATTCATTGGAAGGACTGATGCTGAAGCTGAAGCTCCAATACTTTGGCCACCTGATACGAAGACCCGACTCATTAGAAAAGACCCTGATGCTGGGAAAGATTGAAAGCAGGAGGAGAAGGGGATGACAGAGTATGAGCTGGTTGAATGGCATCACCAACTCAATGGACATGAGTCTGAGCAAGCTCCAGGAGTTGGTGATGGACAGGGAAGCCTGGAGTTGCTGCAGTCCATGGGGTCGCAAAGAGTCAGACACAACAGCAATAGGTATATACATTATATAAAATCTAACCTAATAGGTTTACTAACCTAATTTTGATTTCCTTAAAGAAAAACAAGGACTTAAAGATATTTCCAAACAATCTGAATTTCTGTTGCAATTTTTTACAAGTTCTTCATCTATACCTAACCTGTAGGTGTGTCTTAACAGTCCCATCTTTATAAAGTCTCTCCAAAAATGTAACTTAGCTTTCATAAAGCAAATTATTCTTTGTCTTAGTTTATCCAGCTTAAAAAAGTGAATTATGTAATTACAACAAAAATTACAAGTGCCCTAAAGAGTTTGAAAAATGGGGCAGCAGGGTACTGGAGCCAGCTCCCACCAGTTCACAGGAGCTAACTGAATACATCTTTCCCAGGTCCTCATTTAATGACATCACTTTGGTAGCTTGAAATCAGCCACAGAGGAGAATTTACACCATGGATATCAGCAAACATTTTTTAACATTTTTTATTGGAGTATAGTTGATTTACAATGTTGCATTATTTTCAGGTGTACACCAAAGTGAATCAAGTTATACATACACATATATGTACTTTTATAGAGTATTGAGTAGAGTTCCCTGTGCTATACAATAGAACCTTACTAGTTAACCTGTTTTATATATATCTAGTAGTGTCAGCAAACATTTTAAACCAAAGCTTTTTTTTTTCCAGAGAACCAAGTGTTAAGCATTTACCAGCACACCACAAGTATAAGGTATAAAGTCGTCCTGCAGTATCCAAGGATGGTTGGTTCTAGGAGCCCCTAAAGATGCCGGCTGCCGTCTATGGAGTCACCCAGAGTCAGACACGACTTAATCGACTTAGCATCAGCAGCAGCAGCAAAAATGCCAAAATCCTGATGCTCAAGGACTTTATATAAAATTGTTCAGTACATTACAGTAGATTCAGTCGGCCATCTGTATCTGTGGATTCAACTGTACTAGCAAACAGCCTACTGACCAAGACCCTTCAGGAGGCTCTGGGCTTCAGCCAAGATATTTTATGAGGAAAGTGGTTCAGCAGAGTACGGTTAAGAAAATTCCTACTTTATCCTCAAGAGGGGCCAATGGAGGATAGTAATTATTCTTCACATGTCTTTTAAGTATTTTACTTTGACAGACGTTAAGAGAAGATTATTGTTGTTTCTTAAGTAAACTGTCCAGTCTAAAACCCATTGATTCTGTATTCTTACCGTTTTGTGATCATTAACAATCATTAGTTCCAAATATTTCATTTCTTCAAACACACCACGGGATGGCTGTAGAAAATAAAAATATGTAATCAGAATGGTGGTTAAAGAAAATATCTCTAATGCTGGCTATGTTAACTGCAAGACTGACTTAAAATTTCAGAAAAACTCTTTGCTGCTCACTTTATGAAGACCCTCAAAGAAACCTGGTCAGGGAAATGGAAGGAAAAAGTGACTATGAAGTGTAGGTAAACATAAAATTGGGCTTCCCTGGTGGCTCAGTGGTAAAGAATCTGCCTGCTAATGCAGGAGACATGGGTTTGATCCCTGGTCTAGGAAGATCCTTTGGAGAAGGAAATGGCAACCCACTCTAGTATTCTTGCTTGAAGAACCCATATAGTACGTAGGGTCACAAAGAGTCAGAGATGACTTAGCAACTGAACAAAAAAGACAAAACAAACAATCGGGCTTCCTCAGTGGCTTAGTGATAAAATATCTGCCTGCAATGCAGGAGACTTGCAGAAGACATGGGTTTGATCCCTGGGTGAGGAAGATCCCCTGGAAGAGGAACTGGACACCCACTCCAATATTTCTGCCTGAATACCAGCATGGATAGAGGAGCCTGTTGGGCTATAGTCCATGGGGTTGCAAAGAGTTGGACACAACTGAGCAACTAAACAACAACAAATGTACAACTGCTTAGGAAAGAACTATATTTAATTATCATTAGGTACTCATACAGACAGAGAGCAGCTCATGTGGTTTTCATACAATTTTTAATATGTAAAAATATTCTAGAGAAAAATGCATGATTATTAATATGTTAAAATAAATAAATCTCAATAAGAATAGCATAGTACATCTGGAATAGGTACCAATGTAGTCACATAGAAACGTGAATTCAGGGGAATGAAATTCTCATAATACTGTACTAATTGCTAACCACACAAGTTCTCTAAGGAACAAATGTTGACAATTATCATATTCTAAAGTTTGATTACTAGATAATCCTTTAAAGAGCAAGGGCTACAAAACCCACTACAATATTGTAAAGTAATTAGCCTCCAACTAATAAAAATAAATAAATAAATAAATAAAGAGCAAGGGCTAAGTATTTTAGCTGTCATTTGGACTATCACTTGTTTTTCATAGTTAGAACAGCACATGGTCATTGATCAGTTTATATTTGATAAGACTGGACTACAGTCAAACATCAACAGTCTATATAAAATTTATTATTACCAACTGCAATTTCAAGAGTAAGCAAAAACAGATCTCTAAGTTTAGAAAAAAAACTGTATCCATAACCACCACAATACAAAGACAAGCTCATGAAAGAGAGGATGATCTGACCTATCACTAAGTTTTCAATGGCTGGTGGTCTAATTTGCCATAAAAATTACATTTAGCAAAACATTATCTTAAATGTGCAATTTTGGGGAATTCCCTAGCAGTCCAATGGTTAGGATTCCACATTTCTGTTGCCGGGGCATGGGTTCAATCCCTGGTCAGAAAACTAAAATCCCACAAACTGTGCGACACAGTCAAAAAAATTAAAAGTGCAATTTTCAGTGTAATTACTCATTAAGTTATCGAGTAAATTACCATGTAATCCATATGCTGTGGAATTAATTTTTGGTTACATAGTATTCACCATGTAATTACTAAACAGTCCCCATCATTACAGCTTTCTAACCTATTATGAAATAGACTAGGAACATAATTTCAATTCCAAAGCCCCTATACATTTGTCAATACATAGGAGCTCCATGAAAGTTGCCGATTATATAATTACAGGATTCGTACTTAGTAACTCAGTGTCACACTCACATTCACTGCTCTCTTCTGTCTCCTTTTGAACCACTGTAATTCAGATAGAAAGGGCCACTGGTCACTGCTTTCCATACCTGTGCAAAAGGAAAGAATGCCAAAATGTATGTTTGACAGCATTTCAACGGGAGAATGTTTTAAAAATATTACGTGAGGGAATAGCAGCATTGATAGCATTTGTCTTCTCAAAATAAAAATAAACTAAGGTGGAAAAAGCACGCCAAGTATTAAATAGTTCACATTTTCATGGTCACAAATGTAATCCAAAAGCATTATTTTTTTCCAAACCTCATGAAAAACATAATGAGCTCTTCACAACTCCTGGGAATATGCATATTTGATCCACAACCACCTGACCCTAGATATCTGAAAATTTAGAATTCTACTACGCTTAATTCACTTTATTTTTTAAATGCTTTCCTTTTTTTAGAGGGTTTTTATTATTTATTTATTTGGCTGCACCAAATCTTCAGTCTTCATTGTGGCATGTGGGATCTAGTTCCTTGAACAGGGATCAAACCCAGGTCCCCTGCACTGGGATTGTGGAGTCTTAGCCACAGGACTACCAGGGGAGTCCCCTTAATTTATTCTAGAATTAAAAAGAATGCATGGCATAACCTTTTGCATAAATTACTAAAAACTTTTGGTACTGATACACAGAAATAACATTGCATATCCCAATAATCCAAAAGCGGCTTTTGCCAAATCAGCATGCTTAAGATGCCTCAGAACCAGACCATAAGAGAGATAGTACCAGCTGGTCAAAGTGCAGCAAACTTCCATGAACATCTAAGGATGAACCTCCCTGTAAATAACTCTGTTAAATATGGCCACACTCTACAGTTTCTAACACAGCTTTACATTTGAGTTTCATATTTCAGTCTTTCCATTGGAAATGACTCTTCATGCTTCATTACATGAAAGCCACATGAACTGCCTACCAACACCACTCACTCCAGATCTCAAACCAATTCCACTTTCCAACGAGCCTGCATGTCTACCAAGCTCCAAGTCAAAGCTTCTAGTACATAAAACAGAATGGCTACTTTAACAAACACTTACTGAGATTCTTCATTTGCTTAGAATATTGTCCTGCCAAGATTTTCTGGATTACATGTGGTCGACCTGCGCTTTTCTGAAACAAAAACAATTAGTCAATTAAAAAGCAAGATATGATTACATCTGTATGGAACAGTGTGAGCACTTTCTCTAATATCCTCCCTAAAATGGGAACATTTATATGCTGATGGTTTAGTTACCAAAAATGAAAAGTATATGTCTTGTTAAAAGTTGACCTTCAAATAGAATAGAGCATCATCCAATTGCCCCAGTTTAGATAAAAAGCATAATTTCATTATCACTCTTAAACCTTAACTTTCTTCATACCCATGCATAAGAAATTCACAAGAAAGAAACACAAATGGGCAATGACTGCACAATGTAAGACAAATACTCTAGCACTTCTTCAAAATTAAAGTAAAAAGATATGCCAACTTTTGCCATCCGGTTGGCAAAGGTTTAAAAATTATTACAACCATAGTCAATTACAGTTGCAAGGCAAAAATCACTCTTACACACTGCTGGTAGCACAGGTAGAGAGAAATTTAATAAGTCTATCAAAAATCTTGAAAATATCCATATCCTTTGCCCAAGATATTACACTTTTATTAAAGTCTTATTTCCATCACTATAAGCTTCCATTACTGAGTGCATAGGATGTGCTACCAATTTACCAATGTAATGCTCACAAGCACTCCATATGGTGCATATTTTATTGCCACTTAACAAACAAAAATATTGAGGTTCAGAGGATACATTAATGAGTTAAAATTATATTACAAAATAAAATATGGGAACGTATTGCTGAAAAACTGGAAGAATGTGCACTGAGAGGTAAAGAGAAGTTATCTCTAGGGGATGGGATAATGGATAAATACTATTCAGTTAAATATTTTCTTATTGCGCTTTTCCAAATTCCCCACAATGTTTTATAATCAGAAAAAAAAAGCTTATTTTAAAAAGTGCTCTTATTAAATTACATAAAAGACTTATAATAAATAAAAGTTTTGCCATTCATTTATTATTTGAGAAATAACATGAGTTCTCACAAGAAATACTCCCTCCATATTACTGGACTTATAAAGAATACTAAAATTAACAGTAAATTAAATATCAAAAATCTAAATTCAAGTACCATAGACTCTTAATTCTGGTATCAGGTGAAAAGATATGTGGAGTGATGAAACCCACAACTAGCAACATAATTTTAAAAACCAACTAAAGTTTCAAGCATTGTTCCCATCCCTCTCCCATGGTAAAGATGAGGATAAGTTGTTGCATGAATGATAAGCAGGCAGTAAAAAGGAAGGCAAAAGAGAAAAGGCATTAAGTGTATAACAATCAGCTCCTGAAGAACAGGATTATGGGTTTAACAAGGCAAAACCAAGGCTTTAAACATTATGATAATAACACCTTATAAGTCTCTTCAACAGTTTAATAGACATAGTCATGTATATTTATTAATTTGTCAAATGTGTAAAATTGCCCTATGAGGGATGCAATGAAAAATTATTTCATTTTACCTATTTAAAAACTCAAGGCTTAGAGAGTTGTTATTTGGGGCAGGGGGGTGTTTTGCTCTTTGGCTTTGTTTTTGTTTTATTTTAGGGTCACAGGATCCTTAATCAATGCCAGAAATCAAAGTCAATTTTTTACTCTATGAGTCAAATAATTGTGCTGTACATAGTTTATCTACTTACAAGTAGAGTAAGCGAAAAATATTTTACTTCATCAAAATGTCTTTATCTATCTAGGTGGGGTGATCTTCATTATCTGATAATTTTTAAATTGTCAGTTAAAAATAATACTGCTTTACTCAAACAGAAACCAGTTAAAACTTAGACTTTCCTGCCTCAAATTTGAAATTACCCCATATTCATACACATGTTGCCATACAAAGAAAATAAATATTTGTCTGTTCAACTATTATTATCAATAGCCTGAATGACTATTTCCTGCCTCTAAATTTATCTTATCTACATTTTAAATCTCTAAAGATTAAAAAAACACTTTTTCTGCTCCCCATCAATGATTGCAATATCCTGACGCTATCACTTTCAAACTGCTATTTTCCCATCAGCAGTACTTTTTTTTTTTTTTTAATATTTATTCATTTATTTGGCTGTACCAGGTCTTAGTTGCAGCATGTGGGATCTAGTTCCCTGACCAGGGATCGAACCTGAGCCCCCTGCATTGGGAACTCAGAGTCTTAACCACTGGGCCAGCAGGGAAGTCCCCCCATCAGCAGTACTTTTCACTATTATGACTTCCCAACTGATACCCCTCAGCACCTTCACCCCCTACTGTCTGTTCCTCTCCAAGCCAGCAGAACTCTTGCAGTTCCTAAAACACACTGAGAATGCTCCTACCTCAGGGCCTTTGCACTTGTTCTCCTCCTGCGATACACATCCACTCCCCTAATTTCCTGAAGGTCTTCATCCAAAACTCACCACCTCATTGTGCCCTGCCCTGGACAGTTAATTTAAGTTTTAACTCTCCTCCCCACCTTTCCAAGCGGTACTAGTGGTAAAGAACCTGCCTGCCAATGTAGGAGATGTAAGAGATACAGTTTCGATCCCCGGGTCGGGACGATCCCCTGGAGGAGGATATGGCAACCCACTCCAGTATTCTTGCCTGGAGAATCCCATGGCAAGAATCCACTACCAGTGGAGTCTGGCAGGCTACGGTCTCTAGGGTTCCAAAGAGTCTGACATGACTGAAATGACTTCGCATGCACCACCTACCCAGCTTCATTTTTCTCTCCTTAGTATGCACTATCTAACATACCATATGAAATTACTTATTCACCTACTTATTCCTGTCTCTGCCCCTAAAGACTACACGCTCTATTAGGCTCAGGTTCTATGTCTATTCTGTTCACCATTTTATCCCCAGCACCTAAAATAACATCCAGTATGTAGAAAGCCCTTATTAACAACATTGATGAATATATGTGTGCTTAGTCGCTCAGCTGTGTAGGACTCTGCGATCCCATGGACTGTAGCCCGCCAGGCTCCTCTGTCTGTGGGGATCCTCCACACGAGAATGTTGGAATGGGTTGCCATGCCCTCCTCCACAGGATCTTCCCAACCCAAGGATTGAACCCAGGCTTCCTGCATTGCAGGCAAATTTCTTTTTTGTCTGAGCCACCAGGGAAACAGGAATACATAAGTATATCAAATTTTAAATTTAGTTGAATTCTATTAGTTAGCAACATGATCAGAGCACATGATTTCTTTTTTCCAGTTTTATTGAGATATCATTGACATATAGCACTGGAAAAGTTTAAAGTATACAACATAACGATTTGATCGATGTATATATTCATACAATGAACACTACAATAAGTGTAGTTAACATCCATCACTTCAATTAGTTATGCATTTTTTCCTTGTGTTGAGAACTTTTAAAATCTATTCTCTGCAACTTTGAAATATACAATACTATATTGTATATGACAGTCACATGCTGTACACTGCATCCCCAGAACTTACTTAACTTATAGTTGGAAGTGTGTTCTTCTGACCACCTTCACTCATTTCCCCCACCAGCCTCTGGTAACCACAAATCTGTTGTGTTCATGTGAGTTCAGTTATTTAGATTCCACATACAAGTGAGATCATATAATGTTTGCCTTGTTCTGGCTGACTTAACTCACTTAACATAACGCCTTCATGATTTCTTATCTAGGTTGCTGGCCTATGCATGACTCTAAACATTATTTTCTTCCCTATCTGAAAAGAAAAATAAATACTGTTTAATGTAATCATAGTTGAACCCACAAATCTCCCCACTGAAGATTCTTAGACTCATAAAAGTTATGTATATACTTGCTTACAGTCATACAACTATCTAAAGACCATGAGAATAAAAGCTTGCTTAAAGGAAAACAAACTGGTCAGAATAAAATAAAGCATCTTATCTTTTTTCTCTTCTGACTGGGAAGAACTGATCTTAGCTTCAGAAAATGTTTGAGGCTTCTTACCATCCCTTATTGACATGCCATCTCCGACATGCAACCTAAGCTTCAAAACTCATGGTACCAGCCTAAATGTGAAACAAAGTGCTCTAGATAAATGCATTTTGAAGTCTACATGATCATCTCTTGATTGCTCAAAACAAAAATGCTGGAAAAATAAAGCCCCATAAAGAAAGTGATGTCACAGTCACACTCACCTCATTGTGAACCAGGTCCAGTGGTTCTATCATATACACAAAGGTATGATCTTCAAACATACCACTATGACACAAGGAACGACAGTAAGAGAGTTAACACATATAGCAAACATACTGTCTTTAAAAATGAGTGTACCTGAATAAATACCTTTATTCTGCCTCAAATCAAATTCACATATCTGCATGGAATCACACTGTGGCCCTAGCACTGCACTAGACAACGTATAGGCTACAGAAAGTGCAAAACGTGTGCAAGAGAGGTATACACATTATACCTGGTATGGTTAGTTTTTGGAATTAAATGAACAGATAAGAAGGTCAAATTGGGATAGGACTATTGATGCTGTTCTAATATCTCGAGTTATTACCGAGCCATGTACAACTAGTACAAATTTGATTCGCAAATCCAGTATCATCTGTAAGAAAACAGGTTCTCTGTGTATAAGAACAATTTAAAACATTTGATTCTGAAGAGGCAAACAGAATTATCTTCATGCTTGCAAATTGTGAATTTCTATTAAGACTCTGTGTTGGGAGCCACATTTAATTTTGAGAAACACAGGATTTTTTGTAAAGTGTCTAAGTAAGATTTTCAAGATCCTTTTCATCACATGGCCATAACAGATTTTTCCACGAAGCGCTACTGTGTTTGAGTCTAAAAGGCACCTACAAATGTTTTTTAAGAGCCTGCCTGAAAACTGAAACATGGACCCCTCTTCTTTCAAACCACCCTTGCCTGGCCACCTTCACCTTATCCTTAGGTTAAGCTGACTGACAGTTCTTCTGGGAGATACCTCTGGGAAACCTTTCTGGGCTAGGTTCGGCCACCCCGAAAGTCCCTGTCCTTCTCCTTCACAGTACCCACCAAAATGGCAATCAAATAACAATCTGCATAATCATTTATTTAATCTCTAAATCACCTGCGAACTCTTAAGTGTTAACAGAGCAGAGACTATGCCCTCCTTGTTCACCACATCCAGTCTCTGTCCCAGGACTGGTACAGAAGAGTCACTAAAATAAGTATCTATGAAAGACAAGATGGAAAGGGTGAAAGAAACAGATGAAAGCAAGGTGATTCTCGCTATGAGATCCCACATACTGAAGTCCATTGCAGGTTGACAGAGCCACCCTTGAGTCCTTGACACCTCTGATGTTTCCATGGTAGTAACAGTGCTCTCCACCCTGTAATACAGAAGAAGATTTTATTGTTAAATTATGCTGTCTCCAGCATGATTCTTTCTCTTTGGGACGCATCTGTAAAGCCAAAAGAAAGGCAGGGATGATTCTAGAAACGCCTCAAGGCTGTTATGAAATCTCAACTTTTCAACTTTTCTATAAGACGCAGGTGTATATTCGAGGTAATGAAGAAAAGGCTTTAACAGGAGTAAGACATTAATGTGGCTGGAACAACTTTTCTACCTTTCCTAAGCATGTGAGGGAGCAGACACTTAGCAGATATTGTCAGGGAATAAAATCTTCTACATAGCTGAGGTGATTCCCCCAAAGGTGGTGTTTATCATCATTTTTACGGAAAACTACATAAGACTTGGTGATTTGCTTTCTGACCTTTGAAAATCAGTTGATAAATTTTTTTAGAAATAATGTATGAAATTACTTTCCAAAGGCAAATAGTAACTGCAAGACCTATTTAAAAACACACACACGCAGCAGTTTCCTAGCACTTTCTCTCACCACCTCCATAGCAACTATTTTTAACACTTTCAGCTGTTTCCTCTGCTGTTTACCTATGTATTTCTGAATGGAATATTTATACTGTTATATCCTAATTTATTCCACTTTAGAAATTACCTTCCTAATATAGAATCTCGAAAGCTCTTCTTGCCCACAATATAGTCTAACACACATCAGAAGCTTTTGGTTAAATTATATTTAGTGTTTGTATTCAGTTCAGTTCAGTTCAGTAACTCAGTCATGTCCGACTCTTTGCGACCCCATGAATCGCCAGGCCTCCCTGTCCATCACCAACTCCCGGAGCTTACTCAAACTCATGCCCATCGAGTCAGTGATGCCATCCAGCCATCTCATCCTCTGTCGCCCCCTTCTCCTCCTGCCCCCAATCCCTCCCAGCATCAGGGTCTTTTACAGGGAGTCAACTCTTCGCATGAGGTGGCCAAAGTATTGAAGTTTCAGCTTCAGCATCAGTTCCTCCAATGAACACCCAGGACTGATCTCCTTTAGGATGGTCTGGTTGGGTCTCCTTGTAGTCCAAGGGACTCTCAAGAGTCTTGTCCAACACCACAGTTCAAAAGCATCAATTTTTTGGTGCTCAGCTTTCTTCACAGTCCAACTCTCACATCCATACATGACCACTGGAAAAACCATAGCCTTGACCAGATGGACCTTTGTTGGCAAAGTAATGTCTCTGCTTTTTAATGTCTCTGCTATCTAGGTTGGTCATAACAGTGTTTGTATTATGACTACACAAATATTGTTCACAGCTGTGCCGCTCTGATGACATTGTCTCGTGCTCTATTTTAAAATTTTTTGAGAACTTTCTTTCTTTTTTGTTTTTCCATGTATTCAGCATGTGTACAGACCCTATTATCTAAAATATTATCTACAACTCTTCTCCTATGGTCAATTATAGCAGGTAAGTTATCAAATCCATTTTGTTTCTGGATACACCCCGCTTGTTTCACCCTCATGCTAGGTCTGATGCATGGCTGCATCTTATATCTATAACTGAATCACTTTGCTGCACACCCTGAAACTAACACAACATTGTTAATCAACAATACTCCAATACAAAATAATTGTTTAAAAAAAAAACCTACAACTCCACATGAAACATATCTGAGCATGTGTCAGTGCCGGTAATAATAATATATATATTAAAATAGTAAAAAAAGAAAATGCATGCACTTCAGTTCTGGGAAACTTCTACTGTTTCTCTGATAAGCCCCTTCCTTTCCATTTTTCTCTACAAATTGAGCTCGTCTACTGAAGCAGAGGAATGGCTCTCCAGGGTAGGGAGTAGATCAGGGATTTAGTACCTTCTCCAGGTAGACTTTCAACCAATCTTTCTGTTTTCTGGTACTTTCAATTCCTGGGGCTTTATGGGTGAAGAAACACAAGTTGGCTTGGTTCTGCTTGGCTTTGTCCCAGTGGAACTTAGCAGAGCAAGAAAAACTCAAACCTAGGACAATTACTCTGAATCCATCTGCTTTCTAGCTCCTACCATCGTATGGACACCTCTTATTAGCCGTCTTCTCTTCTCTTAATCCCTGTGGGTTTCTACCCTTTTTACAATTCCTTAGCTGTTACTTGAGTGTGTCGCTATAAGGAACTAGAGATAAATATAAGCACGAAATCCACGCTGTCTAACCAGAAGTTTCCTATTTTTTTTAATTTAATATTGAAGTGTAATTTCCCTGGTGGCTCAAATGATAAAAAATCTGCCTGCAGTTTAAGAGACCTGGGTTCAATCCCTGGATTGGGAAGATCCCCTGGAGAAGGGAATAGCTACCCACTCCAGCATTCTTGCCTAGGAAAGCCCATGGACAGAGGAGCCTGGTGGGCTACAGTCCATGGGATCACAAAGAGTCAGACGCAACTAAGTGACTAACACACACACATATTGAGCAGAGTTCCCCGTGCTATGCAGCAACTCCTTGTTGATTATTTTACATATACAGTAGGGATATGTTAATCCCAAGTTTCTGAAATAGAATATTGACTTTGACTTTTTATTGATGATTTACAGTCATCTTGATCACTGCTTATTAAGCTATATTACAATAGCCTCAGATGATACTTAAGTGGGTAAAAGGGTGCACCCCATTATCAAATGACTACTCCCCAATCAACTTAGTTTGTTTCCTTTTAATAACTATAATATAAAGTTTCAATGTTGCTTTCTAAAATTGGTATCACAATCTTGTTACTATTTTGTAAAGTGTTGCTTTTGCTTCTCGAAACTCTACTCCCGTGCACAAATATTGACTTTATATACTATGTCAAATTCTATTTGCATATTCAACTCTGGAACTTGTTGGGGCAAATGGTTACCACACATTTCAGTAATTTGAGAATCCACATTAATACCCTGTAATTAAATATCAGACTCTTCCCATGATTCTAAAAACAACCACAGGAAACTGTAAATTCCATTGGACCAGTTACAGAGCACGCTGTGTCACACCAAAAAGCGCTCTTGAATCAAGTGACTGTTAGAAGTGCACAGCAAATACTGTCATATTTACTTGACCTTTCTAAGAAAAGATCTATTTTCTATATTTTCCTGCAAACAATCTTTTTTCCCAGAAAATATTTCCAAGTCTTTTCTTACACTTCAGTTTCATTCGCTTGCACTGAAAACTGAAAGCTGATGCTCTTTCAGCATAAAGGTCATTGGTACCTGTTTTAATTACGGCAGAATATCATCTGAAGGGGACTGTTCAGTTCACGGTATATGTGGATGTGGATCACCATACTTTCTGGACTTTGAGACATGCAGTAACATCTAATCCCTGATGTTTATCATCATAAGAAAACTTTAATATCTAACTTGTGTAGTTCTATTAAACACAACATGCAATTTGGCAAGTCCTAATTTAGTGTTAATATTAGTAGTATTAGGAGACTTTCTGACTTCCTTATTGCTTAATCTATGCCAACCAAGTTTTTAAGAAAGCATTACCAGAAAAATACTATTTGGCAACTGTCCAGATTTTGTAGCATTTTGTTAATGTCACTACAAAGTAAGATCTTTGGGTATTTCATATTAAATAAATCCCTGCTAAGAAGTATTCTCTCTTGGGTATCAGGATGACAGGAGCAGGTCAGGTCAGAGGGGCCTCTTCCAGGGGGAGAGCCTTGTTAATGAAGACACTGGATAGTCAGTTCCCGGGGTGCCTCCATCCAAGGTACTAGCCAGCTGAAACCCTCGCTGCCTAACAGTAACTGCCATCTCTGTGTACAAATAGAGAGAGAGTCACAAAGTGCTAAAAGGCTCTGCCGCAGACAGCAAAGCTAAACTGAATCCCACATCTGCAGGCGCTAGTGTTTCTTTCTGCAATCAGGAAGGCCTCAGACAGTTTACAAGAGTGCTGGTCAGAGACTCTGAGATCACCACCTATGAGGGGGGTCACAGACCTGTAACTAGGCAAACGGCAGGAGGAGAATCAAAAAGGGCTCATTCGATGCACGACACAAGTCTATATGTGTCTCCATGGGCACCAGCATTTTCAGATTAAAAACTGTCAGGTACTAATATTTAACAAAAATGGAGAATCTAATAAATGGACATTATTGCATCATCAAAGCGACTTAGAATGGGATGCATATACCCAAATTTGAATAATGCAAAACAAGGATACAAAAAAATATTTCAGAGAATTGAACAACTTGAGAACCCAACACCAGTTTAATTATTTATCTTTGCTAAACTCAAGGGGAAAAAAATGTCCGGGTATCAAAATATTTACATGTTCTAATTTATATGTTTATATATATAGCTGTACTACATAAATTTTAGTGCTATATACATTTTTAATAGTTCACACAAGTTATACTATTCAGGTTTAAAATAACTTTGTAGGGAGCCAGTGTGGGATGCTCTCTTGATTTCCTGGGGAGTGTTTTTTTAAGCTCCCAGCCAAGAGCCTTGCCCACAGAAGCCCATTGCCTCTGACAATACTCTCTGCCAAGAAGCATTCATGGAAGAAGTGAGTTTGAGCTTGACCATGGTGATGAGTTGATAAGGAAAGCACACACACATACAAAAATTCTAGGAGGGCAATGTGATTAAAATGACAAAGAAAAGAACCGAGAATAGAATATAGAACCTACAAGGGCAGGATTTTTATCTGCTAGGTTTGCCATTGCATATCCAGCTTCTAGAACAATGATGAGATCAGAGTGAGTGAAATCAACAGCTGTTTAATGAATGAATAAAAATGGTCTTGTCACTTAGGCTCATGAAGAAGCCAATCTTAAAGGACCAAAGGATTCATGTTTGTTGAAAGACTAGGTAAATAAACTCCCATTACCTATCTGAGAGATTTCTTTTTTTGAGACACTCTTTTGTGATTCAGTGAGTTTTAATATATTAAAATAGAATTGTGGGACTTCCCTGGCAGTCCAGTGGTTAGGATTCCACACTTCCGCTGCAGGGGGCACAAGTTCTATCCCTGATCAGGGAACTAAGATCCCACAAGCCAAGTGGGGCAGCCAAAAATAAACAGAGGCTGCTACTGAACAACTTAGAATATGGGAAAGTAGAGAAAATGTGTTCTTCCTGTAGGGAGGTGAATCTCACCCCCCAAAAAAGAGGAAGGGACTATGTAGACATGCTCAGTTCCTTCCCATCAGTTAAAGCATTCTTTCTTCCCTGGACAAGAGTGAGCAAAGAAATAGGAAGAAACCAGGGTGAGAAAATACCGTTAGGAAAGGACAATATCCCCACCCAATAAAAATGAAGAGTAACAACGGAGGTGGGGACAGAACCACTGTTATCTATCCATTCAGTCTTACACTGCTGGTAGTTCTTTTAATAAGAAGAGAAACCAAAGTATTAGCAAGCATTTAAAGTGAATGGTTCACTTAAAAGGGATTTAATAGAAATATACTAAATTGGAAACAAACTATTATACCATTATATTGATGCTTAACTCCTTTAGAACTGATACACTAAAAAATAACTTAGGTTAACAGGTTCATCAATAAAGTTGACCAACAAATCAACAAAGTTGTTTTGTTGTATATTGTGTACAAAGCATCATGCTAGGAACTGCTGGTGCAGAAGCAAAGTTCTTTCATATGCAGTTACTAATACCTGGCACCTATTCTATCCTGCCTACTTAATTTGTTGACCTCTCAGTTCCTATATTCACTTCACCAGGAAAGAAGCCCCTTTAAATCACTTTAATTCAACAAAAATAAAAGCATAAGACATTAACCTCTTCTTAGTTAAAAGTGGGAACTAGGTGGGGGCTTGGTAGTCATGAAATGGGAACACCTAGACATGTAGTATCGGAGAAGGCAATGGCACCCCGCTCCAGTAATCTTGCCTGGAAAATCCCATGGACGGAGGAGCCTGGTAGGCTGCAGTCCATGGGTGGCGAAGAGTCGGACCCGACTAAGTGACTTCACTTTCACTTTTCACTTTCATGCACTGGAGAAGGAAATGGCAACCCACTCCAGTGTTCTTGCCTGGAGAATCCCAGGGGCGGGGGAGCCTAGTGGGCTACCGTCTATGGGGTCGTACAGAGTCAGACACGACTGAAGCAACTTAGCAGCATCAGCAGCAATGTAGTATCTCTGAAGTGTGACTCATCATTTTGTTTGAAAATTAAAATATTCTCAGAATATTTTAAATGTCCACATTTATATTTCACTTTAAAGTCAAGTAAGCTATTAGTGATTCTGTTCCTCCCTAGTCCTATGAATAATTGTGTGTGTGTGTATATGCATGCACGTGTGTACTTTTGTCTAAATAATTTGAGATATTTGGAAGAAAGGTTGCAAGGTGTAAAAACAGGCTTATTTAACTTGCCATTCTTACATACTAATTTTCTATTCTGGTATTCAGTATGAAGATTTTCTTAACATGGAACACAATGTGAAGTTTAAAGACACACTTTTAAAAATAGATATGCAACGATAGTAGGAGTATGAATTTATACAAAATTTTAGAAAGAAAAACTGTGAATACGTGGCAAAAGCCTTAAAAATGTACCAACTCTTTAACCCAGAAAATTCCATTCTTGAAAGTAATCCATAAGCAATTATTAAAGAAGTACACAAAATATATTTAGAAAGGTTTTACTTAAAGTTATGGCAACCCGCTCCAGTTTTCTTGCCTGGAGAACCCCCATAGACAGTGGAGCTGGCAGGCTCCATGGGGTCACATGGGGTCACAAAGAGTCGGACACAACTAAGTGACTAAGCACCAGCACTTAAAGTTGTTTGCAGAGTGAAATATTAGAAGCAATTTTAAATGTTTATCATTGTGGGATTAAACAAGTTATAGCAAATGAATTGGATACAATATTATACACCTTTTAAAAACAAAAGTAGCAGAAATTTTAATGCATATTAAAATATTTATAATATTGTCAGGCTAAAAAAAATTTATTTTCTCTATTCTACTGTAAATTACCAAAACTTTGCAAGTAAATATATGGGTATAAGTTTTGATTATTACTAGGACTTGATTCTCAGAAGGAAAATGGACAGCTCAAAAGGGGTTATATAAATGATCTGGTTGTAGCTTTCATCGCCTAAGTTATTTCCAGTATTCTGCTGGTCTGAGGAGCTGGGTATTTCTTTATTCCTTCATCAATCCTAATGTCATTTTCCTGGAAGTTGAAAAATGACCATTCTTCCATCAGGGATATATAAATAGTATATATATATATTTGTATTCCCTTACTGGAACCTCCAAACAAGTTCTCAAGATCCATTTGTATGATTTGAACTTTTTTTTCAGATTCCTGATAACTGTAATCAAGTTGTTTCTAGACATGTCCCTCAAATTTATACTCCCACCAATAGTATTATGACTATTATTGGATATTATGATTTTTTTAAGAAATTTGATAATTTAACATTTTAAAAGATGCCATTTGTATTCTCATTTTAACTTGCATTTGCTTATAAAAAATTTACCAGCCATTTGTATTTTTCTTTTGTGAAATATACATTTATGTCATTCATCCATTTATGCTTAAATGGTTTATCTTTTATCATTATGTAATTTAGATTAATTCAAAGCATGTACAAATTGGCACAGAACATTGCCATGTTTGTTAAAAATGTTCTAATCTGAAATATTTCATTAAAAATTTGCTTTAAAAAAAAAAAAAAACTTTCTTAGTGAGAAGTTTGGATCAGGTTACAGAGGCCTGCAAAGGTGGCTCATTTGCTGAGTCTGTAAAGGTCTCTTGCAATCTTTTCTCCAGACTCATGATTCAGCATCTGCAGTGCTCACAGCACTGGCACAGCTGACAGAAGCTTTGGTTTGTACAAATGCCAGGCAGCACTGTTCCCGAGCTTGATTTAGCATTTCTGTTCACTTTCCACAACACTAACTTTTAGGGAGATTCGACAACACCCAAGATGCGGCCTAAAGCGAGAAGTGACAGACTAGTAAGGGTAATACATGGAAGTTCTTAATCTGGGGCATAAAATTCAAAGGTTTGGAACATACATCAAATTACAAATGTGCCCACTGTGAGGTGGGCAATTATAAATCCTAAGAAATGCCATGACCCTTGGGCAGTAGTTAGTTCAGGCCACCTAGAAATATCTGCAGAGAGAATATGAGATGCACCAGCCCAGTTCCCCACACTGTACAATGCAGCAAGCCCACACTTTTGTGCCAGTGCTCATTAGCGATCAAGAAACAAAATCCAGTCATATTTCCCCACTTTGTTTTGTTTCTCTGTTTGCATCCCATGCCTGAGGCATCCACGGACACACCGTATGCTCAGAGGTGCTCCGTAAACTTCCTACAACTCAGAGTCTCTCTCTGGATACAGCCATTCTGGGAATTTTCACCCTGACTGGGGGAGATCAACTGTGTTCCTTATCTCTCCACAAGTAATCTCTCTCTCTTGTTTAATCTAAACCCAGTTTTCCTTATTGATTCTCTATGAAAAGAACATTTAATCTCCAATGAAGGAAATCAAGCACCCAATTGCACTGATATTACAATGCTTGGTGGCCATGAGAAGGTTTATTTGTCCTCTTTCCGCCTGCATGTCTTTCTTTGCACAACGGGAATAATAATACCCACATCACAGAACTATTGTGAAGATTGAGAGGGAGAAGGTTCCCTACATCTTCCTTTCCCCATCTGCCCTCTGTCCTTGGGCAACAAAGTCCCTGGGACTAAACAGTCCCTCTAACAGCCCCTCCAGTCTGATCATTCAGTTTCTCCGACCATGAGCCTGGGGCTGCCATGGAACTGGAGAACTCTTGATATCTTACATAACATCGTATGTATAACCAAAACAATGAACATTTCTTTATTGACTGGGGCATTTAATGTTATCTCAAACATTTGTAAATTTTAATAAATTTATCCTAAATGTATACTAAATTTAAAAATAATAGCTTTTATAAAAGGCCACAGGATTTTAGTGAGACAGACAGCAAAACAATGCAGTGTGCAATGAACAGCGTTCTATGAACAAGAATATTTATACTATAGGATGTCCATATGCTGCTGACCATACCTTAGAGTACTGTGGTTTCCCATTTTCATAGTGAATCTCCACATAATCAGAAGACAGCAAACCACTACAAAGGAAAGAAAATACAGTGATTTCCACATCTAAGATACTTGGAGGTTTTAAAAATAACCAGCTCAATAAACAGATGTGAGAGCCGTGTAAACCACGAAGCACTCCTGTCCACAGTAAGGGCAGAACAGATGTCATCAACAGTGTCAACTGTTATCCAGCAACAAACCACTCCTCCATCTGTTAAAAAGGGTAAAATACAGATAACTTAAAGATGAACTCTTTTTATACACACATGCATCATTTGATTGATATGTTAATATGGAACAAAGAGGCAGGTAACAGGAGAAGATAAGCGCTATAAAAATTCACAATTACACTCTAACTAACTGGAAACTCAAAACAATCATTGAGGAAGAGTACAGAGAAAAGACCAGACAGAAAATATTTTAGGCTTTTCAAGTCACAGGGTCTGTATAACCTCTATTCAACTCTGCTGTTTTACCGTCTAAGTCACTACAGGCTGTACAGTTGTGTTCCAATAGCACCTCATTTATGGACACTGAAATCTGAATTTCACACAATTGTCACTCATCAGGAAATATTTTTTTTCTTTAATTTTTTGCAACAATTTGGAAATTTAATCAACATTCTTCACTCGAGGATTACAAAAGCAGAAATGCCAGATATGGCCTGCGGTCCACAGTTTGCTAACTCCTGGGACAAAATAATAGTTAAGAACATAGATTTTGAAGTCAGAGTGAGGTTTAAAACTTAGCCCAGTTCCTTATTAGTAGTGTGACCATGGGCAAGGTTCCCAGCTCAGCCTTTACATGAGTCACACGAAGACAAAAGAGTGTGAATCGCATAGACACCAACAGGATTAAACGAAACCACCCATACGAGAACTCAGCGCTGAGTACGTGCCCAGTAACGGGCACTGCAGCTGTCACTATTTTTAACTCAGCTTCCTCCAACATATTTCCCTTTATACAAGGTAGGAAATACAAAATATGTGCCTCCAAACGAGCACAGAACTGCTAGGGCATCTGAGTTCCTGTTTCAGCTGTACCACTAGAAATAATGGTAGCGAGCGATCACACAGTGACTGAGTACTCACTACGTCCCAGCCACTGCTCTAAGGACTATCAAGGGAGAACTCACTTAGTCCTAATAGTGACTGAAGGACAACAGTGGGTTCAACGATGAGCCAAGGGTGTGCCCTATATTTAGGTCTCCATTTCTTCTGAAAGAAAAAAGGCTGGAGCAGACGATGTCTCAGGAAGGCCTGCTCTGACATTCTGTCTTCCCTAACTCTGCCTACCAGTAGGGTTTCTTGTTGGGGAAATCTCGACACTGCTTCTTTAACAAAAGGATGGGAGGACTCAAGGATTTTGCATCATTTTGAGAGCTGCACTTGATGTGGTTCTACTATGACCCAGTGTGGAGGGTCTGGAGGAGGCTCAGAGCCAATCAACAGAGTAACTGGGAGTCACACAAGCGTCTGGTCCAGCCTGGTTTCTGGTGTGAGCTGAAGGGTAACCTTTACAACACAGAAATAAGGCAGGTGCTCGTATCCTGGACAGGTTTTTCTATTGAAATTACTAAACAAATGTGTGTCTATTGAAAATTCTACATTTGAAACTAACTTAACTTACAGTACCATCTACTCATTCCCCTCTCAAAAATCTCAGTAATAGCAGACGTAATGACGGGGGCTTCCCTCGTGGTTCAGCTGGTAAAGAATCCGCCTGCAATGCAGGAGACCCCTGTTCAATTCCTGGGTCGGGAAGATCCGCTGGAGAAGGAACGGACTACCCACTCCAGTATTCTTGGGCTTCCCTTGTGGCTCAGCTGGTAACAAATCCGCCTGCAATGTGGGAAACCTGGGTCCAATCCCTGCACTGGGAAGAAAGGCTACCCACTCCAGTATCCTGGCCTGGAGCATTAGGTCGCAAAGAGTCGGACACGACTGAGCGACTTTTACTTTCATTTTCTTCAATGACAGTTCTCAGCTCTCCGTACTTGGGAGAACCTGGCAGGGTGCAGAAACTTCTTTCAGTTCTAGTTAATGAAGTCAGCAGTTAATGTGCATAAGCAAGGCTGTTCATGACAACATATCTCTCAGGAATATTTCCACAACACCGAGAGGCAAAGAGGCTGCACTAACTGCATTTTAATTACCTCGCTCTAGAGGTAATTCATTATTTTCAAAATTCTCAACCACACCATCCCTGGAGCAGTTGAAAACAAGGCTATTTTAGACCCCCTACTTTTGCTTGTAATTACAAAAGCAGATCATAACATTCTAACCACTAACCACCAAATATGATAAAGGTCACTTTATTGTATTTCTCTCTTTTCAAGGTCTTTTGCCCATCACGGACATACCTATTTCTACTATCTCCCAGATGTTGAGAATCTTAAAGAAGAGAAATAGCCACTTTTCTAGGCACCTGTGACAGATAGAGACAGACATTAGACCACATGTTCCCTGTGACAGAGGCGCGCCTCTCTCCCGCCTCCTATAAATAGCACCACATCCTCACTTGCACCATCTTTCCCTCCTGTCTGACCAAAGCCATCCCTGCCTTAACACTGTTTCTCTCACTTATCACAGGGACTCCAGCACGCGGCATGATGCCTGGCGCACAGCAGGTGCCTAACCAACATTTGCTGAGTGAGCGAACAGGCCCACACCGTGTGCTGGGAAGGTGGGATGAAGAATGCCACTCTCTGAAACCGAAACTAAGCAAATCAGCACAAATGTATGAGATTCGCCGTCTCATCCTAAAAGGGCATTTGTAATCTTCCTGAAGGTGAATTAATGCCAACTGAAATGTAATCTCATTATAAAAGTCTTAATGGAATTTCAAAACAAGACTTTTCAGTGAGGGGCAAGTAACACTGGAGGAACAGAACTGAACAGCTAGGGGTGTGGTGGCCTGTCTCCAGCCACACCCTGCAAAGAAAGAGCAGGTCATCTGTCTCTCTGTACGCCTGAAGATAAGCTGTCTGGCAATCTCTGCCTGCAGATGCTCTCCAAGGCCTTTCCTCCACCTCTCCCCTCTGCAGTTTCCCTAGCAGAATTTCCTGTCGGGAACAGAATGTTCTAACAGGCTAATACTGATCTACTTAGCAATTATGGTTCCAAGTATAAACTGTCATTTTACTTTGATGATCAGCCAACTGGGCGTTTGGTTCTGAGTTATCTAATAATGTGAGGGAACCGATGAAAAGGAATTTCTGAACATTTTAAATTCTGAAATAAACATCTTTTTTCTAGGCATTTAAGTTACAGAAAAGCTATACACCCCAGCTACTATAGTGCTTCTCATGCAGGTTATCTGGTGAAAGAGAGGTGGCCTTTGGAAGTAAAGAGATAAATGTAGGATGGAAGTTCAAAGCAAGAAGGAAGAGAGTGGAAGAACTGGAATAAGGAAATTCTCTTTTGATACTGTTATGGAGTCCTCTCACTCAGCACCTTCATGGTGAATCTGCACAAAGGTAGCGAAGAGAACCTGAACTCCAAAGTCAGACAATATGATTTTGTTCAACATATGAAGAACAAATGTAAGCACCTTGAAGACGCTGAACTCCAAGAGCAAGCGAATGGCGATGAACCAAGAGTCATAGCAATGAAGAAGGAGACTGTGGCAGAAATAATGCGGAGTATTCACCCAATCGCATTTTGTCTTTTTCCTCCTGGCATGGTAAGACTACACTTCATAGCTTTCCCAGCATTTAGGATGGGATCAAGAGATTGAATTTAGGCTCAAGAGATATGAGTTGAAGTGATGTCCACTCTTCCAGTTTGAACATTAAAATCCAGGCATGACTATCAGAATTCTCTCTTCCCTGGAATACCAGAAGTCATATGTCCCAGATGGCATAGCTACAAGGTGGATGCAGTGTAGGTTCCTACATTTGATTTGGATAAGAGCTTCTTAGGAAAGTCACTCAATTTGTATTAGACCATACTGTGGGTAAAAGACAAAATATTACACTGTTAATTCTCAGATTTCATCTTTATTATTGAAATATGCTCAAAATGATCCTAATTCCAGCATGTGTTACAAGAAAAAGTTTTAGAAATTTATGTTGAAAGAATTTCAGAATCATTAACAAATATACAAAGAGAACTGCTATTAAGATCTAGACATTGAAAAATTCATACAAAGAGAAGTTTTGCCTATATAAATATTTGTTGGCGTCCTTGAGTTTGAGATGGTGTGTCTAATGAAAGAAGATATATGAACAGTCAGGTGGTCAAAACTCCAAAAGTTTATATCTTACATTCCTCCATGGGGGTTTATTATGGAAAAGCCAAGGAAGGATCAGAGTAACTGGAAAAGTTACTTACTAAGAATCCCTAGAGCCTGGAAAAGTCATTAATGAAGAAGAGTGAATGACTTCTTTGGAAAATAACTTGAATCCTTTACTTTAAAGAAAGAACTACATGCTTTCTTTTGGACAATCCTGGTCATGATAGGCTATGAGTGGGTTTGTCAAGCAAACTAATTTGTTTAGAAAGAGATGACGTAGAGAACAAGACCCTTTCGCTCTAAGGAAGACTACTAGGAAAGACAAACATCGGACCACAAGAAAGTCATTTGTTCTATATCAGTTAAAGATCATTTACTGCCTTTAAAAAGTAGTCAAACTACCAGTCTTTAAAGTCTCTTCCCGTTCTGAACTCTGCATTCACTGCAGTTAATGAGATGAATCCTCAGTCTACACCTCTGCCTAGGAAATTGAGAACAATCTCTTTTGGAGGGAGCTGAGGCCAATAAGGCATTCCTTCACCAGAAGAGCTAGGGGAAAAGTCCAGAAGAACAGTAGCAAGCACCAAGGCTGAAGTACTGGCTGGCCATATGATTATCATCCAAATCAGGATACAGAAAGCGGCATATTAATAATTATTCCAGGACAACAGACATAAACCAGGAAGGACTGTCCTCGAAAAATGGGGACATACAGTTACTCTACCTAAGGGTCAAATTTAAGGTACACACATTAAGTTCTACAGAGAAGGTTAGGCTAGTCTATGAGGTGAAA